TGAACCCCACAAGGCATCGATGGGATTTTTGCCTTCAACAGTCGATTGTCTTTTAAAGAGATTTAAATAACAAGACAAATAACAAGACAAATGTTACTCGTGTAGTTAGCATTTCCGGTCCCATCTTCCTTCTGCCCAGAGGACGCGCCTGCACAGTGCTTGCAGACTTGCTGCTGGCTAATTCTTTCAGCTCCTTGTGTCTGAAAATAATCCTTATTTCACCTTTGTTTTCAAATGGTATCTTTGCTAATAAAGCGTCCGGGTCGACAGGGTTTCTTTCTTCAGAATTTTAAAGATGTCGCTCCCTTGTCTTCTCGCTTGCACTGTTTCCTCAGCGAGACACCCGCTCCTTTGTCCCTGTGTACGAAATGCTTCACTTTCCCTCGGGATGCTTCCAAGCTGTTGTCTTTACAGCCGTCTTGCGCACTTTGAGAGCGACGTACCGTGTTTCTTGTGCTAAGTTCTGTTGAGCTTTTGGGAACTGTGGGTTCGCGTTTTTCATTACATTTGGAAAAGTTCTGGCCATTTTTTCTTAAAACATTTTTCCTTTGCCCCGTCTCTCTCCTTTCGCGACGGGGACTCCAGTTCCATTCGCACGTCACCGGTGGACGCTGTCCCCCGTGGGCCGATGCCGTGTTCCTCTTCCAGCCGGTTTCTCTCTGTGTTTCATGTGGGGAGTTTCTACGGCTACGTCTTTAAGTTCACTGATTTTCTTTGTGATAGTCTAGTAATCCCATTCGATGTATTATTTATCTCGGATATCATAATTTTTATCTCTAGAAGTTCAATTTGAGGCTTAAAGTTTTTTCCGTGTCTCTACTTAGTTCAGTCAATCTTTCCCCCGGCACCTTACGTATGCGACGGTCACAGTGACTGTGTCCGATTTTCTCCTATCGTCTTTGTTGTTTCTGGGTTAGTTTTGATCAGTTTTTCCTCCCTCAGCATGAGTTATAATTTCCTGCTTCTTTTCACACTAACTTTGATTAGCTGTCAGATATTGTGCATTTTGCCTCTCTAGGCGCCAGCTCGTTTTGTGTTCCTAAACTCGTTCTTGCCTTTATTTCTGGGATGCAATTATGCGGAAGGTGCGTGATCCTTTGAGTCTAGTTTCCAAGCTTAACTGTCAGGCAGCACCAGAGCTACATGCCTTGGTGGGACCCTTCCCTCTGCTTTACCCGAAGCCCTTGAATCATGAGCTTCTGAGCTCCGGCTGTCAGTCGCCAGCGCCACCGTGTCCTAGGTGGGCCCTCACCCCCAGTGGCTCCTTCCCCAGCCTCGAGTTTCTTCCTGCTCTGGCTCCCACCTGTTCTCACCTTAAGCCCTGAGAATGATGCTCTTTGGGCCCCTGGGGCTTCCTCCCCATGCGCTCTCTCCTCTCCAGAACGCTGCCCTGTGAACTCTCGTCGCCCGGCCGTCTGCGCACCTGAGGGAGACCGTGGCCGCGGTCCCTGCCCTGGGCCCTGGAGTCTCTCTCCAGGAAGGAGCAGGGCGACCGCAGAGCTCTACCTCTCAAGGAGCACAGTCCCTTTCTGTATGTCTGGTGTCTTGGGTGCTGTTTTTTACTTGTATTTATCTCTGTTTTAAAATAGTTTTTAATTTCGATTTTTCTTTTTCTTTTTTCTTTTTTGCTGTTTCAGGCCAGTGTGTAAACGGCCCGTTACTTCATCTGGAGCAGAAGCAGAAGCCTGCACATCAGCCAAGCACTTTCCAGACCTGGTGCGTTTCTCATCAGTCACTGCGCCAGCTACTGAGACGCCCTCTCTGTGAGGACTGGGGCCACGAACCCCACAGCTCCAGCCCACCCAGGGAGCCTGGAACAGAGCCAGGCGCAGCTTGTCATGGTGGAACGATGGTCATATGAAGAGCAAATAAATGCTTCTTGGGGCTCACCTGTGCTGGGCAGGTGGGAAACAGACACTTGTAATCCTCATGATGATTCCATGGGATTAGAAGGCAGATGGGGGCGGGGGTGGGTCGAGACCAAAGAACTCGCTGGCCGGAGGGCTTCCTGCAGGAAGCGGCCTCGGCTGGGCGCTCAGGAGTATGGAGTGCTGCGTCCTGTGCGGGAGGCGGGCGCGGGTCCGGGGCTCCGCAGCGTCGCGGCGGGGGGAGAGGGAGCCGCCATGCCG